AAATACAAAGACATACTAGCATTAAAACAAATGGACAAGATAAAATATGGACAAATGGACAAGATTAAAACAAATGGACAAGATAAAAACACATACTAGCATTAAAAACAATGATGAAAATGATATGCAAAGATACAATGCTTAAAAAAAAATACACACATCTCATATAATTATCACAAGTACAAAACACTAAGCCATCAAACATAGCACATATTAAAATGCATACTATTAAAAACAATAAGACAGGACAACAGACTCAAATTAAATTAAATAATAAATACCTGTTTCTTTCAAGTAAAGGAACAAATTTGAGTTGACCTCTTTCCCAATTATATGATCAAGAGGCAAGTCACCTTTCTTAAAATGTTTTAAACGAAGATTTTTAAGGTACGGACACTCTATTAAAAAATGGCTAACTGACATTACAGAATAACAGTTTGAGCACACCGGTTCACTCTCAGCTTTTAATAGATAACTGTGTGTAATATACGAGTGACCAATTCTCAAACGGGTCAATAAAATTTCCTCCTTCCGGTTCCTAGTGGGCTCCCAACATTCAATTTTTGGTTTGACCCTTCTCAGTTTATTTTCCGGCTGGACATCCCAGAGTTGCTGCCACTTTTTCAATAATCTGTCTTTGATGACTTTATGGATGTCACTAAAGGGGACGAGGCGATGTGTCAGATGAATTGCAGATTTAGCTGTAGCGTCTGCCAGCTCATTCCCTTTTATACCTACGTGTCCTGGAACCCAACAGTACAGGATGCAGTACCCACGGTTTTTTAATTTAAGATTAAGGATTAAAATGTCAACCACGATGGGGTTTTGAGTATTGTAATATAAATTTAAGGATTTCAAAACACTAAGTGAGTCTGTATATATAATGAAATTTCTTTGATGTAGCTTTGAAATAAAAGAAAGCGCATAATAAACAGCATTTAATTCTGAGGTAAAAACGGAGCAGGCATCATGAAGTCTTCTACCCTCCATGTGGTCTTCAGTAACAAAGGAGGCACCAACATGTTCTACTGATTTTGACCCATCCGTGTATACAGGAATGTAACTAGAGTATTTGTGCCTGTGGTCAGAAAAAAGTTGTTTGTACACAAACTCATTAGTGTCTTTCTTGCCTAAATGTTGGAAAATATCTAGAAACCGAATCTGAACGTCCTCCCAAGGTGGGATTTCAAAATACTTTGCTGGCTGAGTAGTGAGATCTCTCATGTGGTATTTCTCGAGTAGTGAGTTAACCCTAAGTGAGAAGTAAGGCACATGGGATGGTCTGGCCTGAAACAAGAACTTGTAACTGTCATCAATGTTAGAAACATTGTTTGGGTGATCAGGAAGTGACAACACATTGAAATGATAGCAGAGTGACAATTGCTCACGCCTTAAATGCAGCGACGGTTCGTGGCAGTCAACATAAAGACTTTGGACAGGAGATGTTCTAAATGCACCAGAAGAAATACGCAGGGCCTGATGATGAACAGGATCTAATTTTACTAAAATGGAAGGCCTTGCAGACCCATAGACAACTGAGCCGTAATCTAGTTTGGAGCGTATAAGTGCTCTATAAATCCGGAGTAACGAAATACGGTCTGCACCCCAGGAGGTGTTCGCCAGGACTTTCAAAAGGTTCAGTCTCCTAAAACATTTCTTCCTTAGATACAGGATGTGTGGAAGGAAAGTTAATTTCCGGTCGAACATCACTCCTAAAAATTTTACTTCAGGTTCCACTGGAATTTGTGATCCTTCAAGAAACAGCTCAGGCTCAGGGTGGAGGTTGCGCTTCCTGCAAAAGTGTATGCATACTGTCTTCTGTTTAGAAAAACTAAAACCTTCTTTCTTTGACCATTCCTGGATCTTATTAAGAGCGATTTGCAATTGCCTCTCTATATTGCAATCTCTGAGCTCTGCAAAGTAGCTGATGCACAAATCCGTCATGCGTATGCTGAGCATGATGATGGATCCGATATAGACGGCTGTAGCGTGTAATCGGGGTTATCATGGTAAACGTTAACTAATAAGCCTCGTCGACGAAAGAGAGCGAGATTTGACAACTACAGAGTTTGAACGAGGGAAATCATCGTTCTGAAGCTTTTCGTAGTGCAGTACCTCTCGTGTGCAGAACAGAGCACAGTTGCGCGTTTTGGAAGAGTGGACGGACGAGTTTTCCGGGAAGAAATGTGAAGCTCGCGAAAGACACCTATGGCGCGCGCGGACGACCGTACAGCTTCCTCTAGACAATTGGCACACTGTGGTCAGCTACTGTTTCATTGTGTGCTTCAGTAGACCTGCTGCAGGTGGACACGGACTCTTTATACAGATCCCCCTAACGCACGACCATGCCGCCTGACAATGCCAATCAGCATAGAGACTTGCTGATTGGCAATCGTGTTTTCTGACGAATCCCGCTTACATGATGGCCGCATTCGTGTCAACGCTATGCCGGTGAACGCCACCTTCCGGAATTATCGAACGCCACAGTTTATGGTCTGGGGCGCCATAGCAATCATAGACGATTCAATTGCCGAATTGTGGGCAATCGAACAGCAACCGGTATATCCGTGAGTTGTACAGCCCGAAGTGTTCCCTTCCTTCAAAGCTTGCCAGGCGCTGTAAACAGGACAATGCCCGTCAACTGCCGGATTGTTAAATCCTTCTTGCAGCGCATAATCCCTTGGCCTGCGTGTTCCCCGGATATGTCCCATTGAACATGTGTGTGTCAATCCTCGTCCTGTTTCTGCAGACGAACTTTGGGTACAAAACGCTCTCCTCAGTCAAATCAAACTTGTTTGACTTGCCACGTCGTGTAGCAGCACTATTGCGGCGCGTGGTTTGATTCTGATCTCTTGTTCTTGTTTGTTTGCTTTGAAAAATCATTTATTTTACCACTTCAACTGAAATTGCATTCAGACGATGGTTTGCAATTTTCACAAACGTGAGTGTATATATCTCATGTCTGCACCTTGACAGCAAATGTGAAGATCGTCAACATATAAGGAACCTACAACCGTAGGAGGAAGTTCTTTTAGAACAGAGTTGATTTTTAAGATGAACAAAGTAACGCTTAGTACACAGCCTTGAGGCACACCCTCTTGTTGAGAGAATACATCTGATACAGCAGAACCAATCCTAACTTGAAACGTTCTACCCTTCAAAAAGTTTTGCAGAAATATTGGCAGGTTGCCGCGTAATCCAGCGGTGTGAAGATCAAGCAAAATCCCATGCCTCCATGCTTTGTCGTACGCCTTTTCTATGTCAAAAAACACAGAGACTAGGTGGTTTCTATTGACAAAGGCTTTACGAATTGAGGTTTCCAAAAGGAGCATATTATCAACAGTCGTTCTGCCTTTACGAAAACCACTTTGATATTTGGATATTATATTGTTCTTTTCTAAATAATAGACCAAGCGGCAGTTTACCATTTTTTCGAAAAGCTTGCAAACGCAACTGGTAAGGGCGATGGGCCTGTAGTTGGTGGGATTCTTTGGATCTTTCCCTGGCTTAGGTATCGGAATGACTACTGCTATCTTCCATGCATTGGGAAAGTTATGCTCCTTCCACACCCGATTATACAAAGTGAGAAGGGCATTCAGTGACTTACAGGAAAAGATGCTTCAGCATTTCGTAACTAATGCCATCTGGACCAGGGCAAGACTTATGTGTCTGTAATCAAGCTCTTCTTAATTCAAAATGGGAAAATTCGCAATTGTAAGGCTCAGAGTTGGCAGAGTTGAACTTAATAGGAATATTTTCAGCTTGTAGCTTAGCAGACAGAAATGTTGGGGGATAACTGCAGCCATTAGAGATGGCTGCAAAGATTTCACCAAGGGTGTTTGCAATTTCTTCCGCTGTGCTGATCGTTCGGCCGTCTTTTTCCAGGATGGAAAGTGAGTGGTCTCGGTATATTCCACAAGCTTTTCTAACTCTTTCCCATACTCGCTTACTGGATGTTGAGGCTGTTATCCCAGACACATAAGATATCCAGGAATTCCTCTTACTCTCCCGTCGTACTTTCCGTGCGTTTGCTTTAGCTTTTTTGAAAGCAATAAGATTTTGAAGTGTGGGATATCTTCGAAAGTGTCCCCAGGCTTTTCTCTGCTGTCTTAGAGTTTTCTGGCATTCTTGATTCCACCAAGGTTTCGAGTATTTTGGAGGTTTTGCTGAGGTCAGAGGTATAGAGGCTGTAGCCGCTTGGATTATAATGTCATTAATGGCTTTCACTGCATCGTCGACCGGCACATCGTTCACTACTTCATCCGTGAGCTCTGCAAGAGAGGAGAAAAGCTCCCAGTCTGCCCTTTCAAATATAAAGTTTGGGGGCCTTACGACGGGACTCATTCCTGCCCTAGCAAAAGTAACAAATATCGGGAAGTGGTCACTGTTGTGAGGATCATCTCCAACACTAAAAGTACAGAAGGGCAAAAGAGAAGGTGAACAGATGGCAAGATCAAGAGCGTGAAATGTCCTTGTTGGCGCATGGAAGTAGGTATCCTGATCATTATTGAGAAGACAAAGGCAATGATCTTCTATCATCTGCTTAATTTGTCTACCTCGAGAATTTGTATCTCTACTTCCCCATAACTGACTATGTCCGTTAAAATGCCCCATGATAATAAACGGCTCTGGCAGCTGTTCTATCAACTCATTTAGCTGTCTCTGATCGATAGCTTCATTAGGAGGTAGATATATGGAAATGACAGAGACTAATCCTTTAATATTAGCTTGTATAGCTACCGCTTGAAGGGATGTTGCTAACGGAAGCACAGTTGACGGATAGTCATGTGAGGTGAGAAGGCCTACACTCCCACAGACGCGTTCACTAACAACATTGTCCTTTCTCGTAAATGAAAATCTCCTAAGTTTGGCTTTGCTATTAGCTTTGAGATGTGTCTCCTGTAAAGCGAAGCAAACTGGCCGATGTTCATCAATCATGTTCTTAACATTATAGAGACTCTGATAGAAACCACGACAGTTCCAGGAGATAAGGGTAGCCATTATGAGTTTTTATTTCCCCGATGCTGCTTCTTTGTCAGACGAGGAAGCAGATTTCTCGGAAATTCAAGTCCGGCTTCAACTTCCATATCATCAAAGTCAGAGCTCAAACTTTCGAGTGAACTGTCAGTTCGACTCCTATGCTTAAGAATAGGAGTTTCGGATTGTTTCAGGAGATTTTGTTTACTTGATGATGCGGAATTGTTTTCTAAAGGCTTATCCTTGGTGTTTATTGTTTCTGTTACTTTGTTTTGAGTAGCGCTAGTTTTTGTTAGTTTATTTCCTGCATTATACTCTGTTACTGTTATTTTAGAGGTATTTTCCCGTTGGTTATTTATCTTTTGACATAGATTGCTTAGATTAGTTTGGATTCCTATTGTTTTGAATTTCTTTGCAGCCTCAGCATATGAAACATTTAAACGTGGCTGTGTACTAGCTATTATTTTTCTAGCTGCTGCATATGTTAAGTTTTTAGTCACTTTCAAGGACTGTACTTCCTTCTCAGCTTTCCATTTAGGACATGAGCGAGAGAATGCTGTGTGCTCCCCCTTACAATTGACACACAGTGGCACAGCTTTACAACTATCACTGTCATGGCCCTCCACCGAGCAGCGAGCACACGTGGGTTTGCCTCGACAAGACATTTTTGAGTGGCCAAAGCGCTGACACTGGAAACATCGCATGGGGTTTGGGATGTAGGGTCTTACTGGGCAATGAAGATACCCGGCCCTTACACTTTTTGGCAACTCAGGTGTGTTGAAGGTTAGGATAACGTTTTTAGTATCTATCAACTTACCCTCTCTGCGCACCTTGATTCGCCTTGCAGCACAGACATTTTGATGGGAGAGTTCACTCACGAATTCTTCTTCTGAAACGCAGAGAAGATCGAATTCTGATATTACTCCACGGCTATAATTTAAAGATTTGTGAGGTGATACTGTTACACTTACATTTCCTAATTTGTTTAAACTGAGAAGGGTTGCAGATTGGCTGGAAGATAAAGTTTCGACTAGAAGATCACCTGAGCGAAGTCTTTTGATATTTTTAGGTTCTCCGGCACATGACTTGATAAGTTTTTGTATTAAAAAAGGTGACTTTTTTTAATTTCATCTGTTGTGTTATTTATAACAAGAAATCGAGGTATCAATTTTCTTTCATCCTCATTAGCATTTGCACATGTTTTCATTTTTTTTTGTAGAATTTGCTTTTTGTTCTGGTACACAGGGTTCACTTAAGGAGTTCATAGTGAGATAAAATAAGATTCGGACCCGGCAGCCCCACCCACCACGGAGCCCAACAAGGGGACGCAGAGATCTGCGCCAGGGTTAACCGGGTCTATACGCAATCTGAAGCCCCCACAGTCAGCTCTCCCGAAAGCAGGAACTCCCGAAAGCTTATCCCCAAGCCACTGACCCTAAGGACGAGTGACCAGCCGATTGACACTAGTGGGGACAACTAAGTGCCTCCCGTTTCAATCTGAAGCAGAGGCCAAAGCAGTGTGTTGGGAACAGTACCTCGCCCCTCAACTACCAGGACCCTCCTTTCCAGCCTTACGGGTCACAACGCACGGCAAACGCGTAGGTGGAAAAACCACAAGGGAGAAGGAAAAGGAAAAAGGTAGCAGAGAAGAGGAGAGGAAACAGAAAAGAGGATAGATCACTGGGGCTCCAGGATCGTGACACCCGTCTCACCAAGAAGATGATCCCTTGAAGGGCTAGGGTACCTCGGGATTGCCACACCCGTACTCACAAGAGTGAGCCCCTGAGGGGCAACTATCACTCGAGTATTGGCTGTAAGATTTTATTATGTGAACAACAAAAACGGCGTAAATTGACAACAAAACGAAGAAAAGTCGTAGATACATACAAGTAGGGATACGGATTTATGGGTGGAAGGAAATAATAGTAGTAGACGTAAATTTCAAAAAAAGCGTCTTATCTGACAAACAGCAGAAAAATAATGTGAAGATTTAGAATTAATTCACTTCAATAACTCGCAAGAATATGAAGAAATAATGAAGAAACTCTCTTGGCGTGATTTTACAGAAGATTCAGAAAAGTTTGAAGTGTTAATTAAATTGAAAAAATGTAGAAAGAGGGTTCTAGCAATCAACCAAAGGGGTCCCACCGGAAAGATTCTTTTATAAAGCAGAAGACGAAGAATCAATCTTACCTAAAAAAAAGATCCAAAACTTTGAAGAATTTAAACTTCCAAAAGTCGGCTTGGATCAGGCTATGCAAGAAGGAATATATTATCTAAAAGAAAATGAAACCTATACACTTACAGATTACCACCATGAAAACATGCAGTAGGAGAAAATGATGTTTAAGACAAAATTGATGAAACTGGTAAAAATATAAATACAAAGCACGCCTTAGTAGCCAAAGGATTTACTCAAATACGGCGTGATTATGATGAAGCGTTGTCCCCGTAGTGAAACACACTACGATAGAGTTTTTTAGCAGGGGCAGCGTATAATTCCAAGATACATCAACTAGATGTTAAAACAGCTTTTTTTTTTTGTATGGCAACTTAAATGAAGAAATATATATGGAACAACCAGAAGGATCGTGTTCCGGAGAAAGACCATAAAGTTGTAAATTACGAAGTCGATTTTGGTCTCAAACAAGCAGCTAGGTGCTGGAATGCCGAAATTGAAAATACATTGAATAACCTTGGGTTCAGTCAAAGCAAAGCAGATCCCAGTCTTTCACACAAAGTGGTTCGTGATAAAAGAATTAATTTAATAGTGTATGTGTGACATCTTAATAAGTTCTACTGAAAAGGACTATTCTTCAAACATTATGACTAAGAAACGTTACCAAATAACGATCTTGGTGAAGCTAAATATTTCTTAGACATGGAAATAAAATCGCAAGAAATGGAAGTTATCTCTTATCACGAAAATAAAATAAATCATTTGGTCAAGCATTTCAACTTGAAGAACGAAACCCTAGCACACAATGGAAACAAACTTTAAAACCTAAAAAGGAAGAAATCTCCTAACTTCAAATGATAAATTTTGCCAAGCTATTGGAAGTCTTTGTATATATCGTCTATCACAAGACCAGATATCCAGCTTCAACTGACTACTCAGTAGAAGGTGTAATAATCCACGTCAAAAGGACTGGAATGCTGTTAAAAAGAATCATTAGATATTAACACGACAAAGAAGCTATCTTTACAAATTTCGTCGAGTGAAGAACCTAATATTACAGTTATTCAGATGCTGATTGGGACAAGATATTGAAGATAGAAAATCTACATCAGGAAGTGTTTTTTATTAGGAAAAAACTGTATTTCGTGTTTTCAAGAAACCAAACCTGTGTTTCTTTACCTCATCAGAAGCTGAATATGTTGCACTATCGCAAGTACGCAGAACTATTATGGCTATTAAAATTAAAAAATTCAATCTACCCCAAACTCTACCGATAAAGGTATTTGAAGATAATCAGTCTACTAAAGACTTGTAGAATATGAAAAATTCAGTTCACGCACAAAACATATTGATACAAAATTCATCATATACGCGACTTGAATAACAAAGGATAGTAAACCTTGCTTATCTTTCAACAAGCAAATGGTTTGCTGATATTATGACTAAACCAATTCCTAAAGCTAATTTCAGTTTTGCAGGAATGAATTGCAATGGTATAGTTTCATTAGCAAAACAGGGCAATGTTAGCATAAATTAGGTATTTTACATAATGAAACTCGAAAGGCATACGAAAGAGCGTGCGCCAGATATATATTGCCAATGCCAATGATTGCATTTCGGAGTGCCTATGGTTCAAAACCATGTACCTCCACATCAGAATTACTAAGGTGAGCAGAAATAGAAAATTGGCATAGTGAGTTACTTGATGCTCAATAGAGGGAGCCACAGCTCGAGAAAGTTTAGGGATAGGGATAAGAAAATAAAAACTAAAATCATAATTTTTTTATAAGTTTTATAATTTTTTTTGTACTTTATATTTTATACTTTTTTTTGGTTTTTATATTTTTTTTATACACGATACAACACTAAAGCAAAAGCGGATAGGAAAGAGTTTACATTAATAGGCTCATTGGCATGTGGCTTGTGTAGGAAGTGCAAATAATAAATGGAACGCGATGAAAATATTCTTAGGCAGATTTGGAATCTGCGGGAGATTGATTCTTAAGTAAACAGATGATAACTTTGCTTGAGATCTTGAATTGCTGTTGTTGAAGGGGTAAAAGCAATTATATGGCATCGCTGAAGAGACGTTCTTCCTTCATGGCGCGGGGGCTGGAACTACTGTTGAGAGGGCGTGTTTTGCCCTTTGGATGGGGGTATATGCCGAACTCGGCCAATACGGCTCTCGGTCTCTTTCTGTGAGCTGCGAATAGCAGGATCGTATGCTGGAATCTGCTGGAGTGCTCGGTTATCAATCTGTTCAATTTTGAGGAATAATTTTGACTAAGTTTTTTAATATAGTAATCCACAGTTTAATGTTAAGGTCCGAATGAATCACATCTGTACGGACGTACCAGGCTGCATTAGGGCCATACGTAAGGTCTTACTTTGAAAAGATGAAGTTTTTTCACATGAGTTTTTTGCAGCAGTACCCCAGATTGTACATGTATATAAAGACAGGTCTTGTAATTGATGTATAGAAGAATTTTGTTTTTAATTGAGAGATGGCTCTTTCGAGCTAAGAGAGGGTAAAGTGGGCTCTAGGACTTTTTGCTTATTGAGAACATTTTCAATGTGAAGGTGCCAGCCAGCGTAATTTTGAATCAATACAACTCCTAGGTATGTAAGAATTTGACCGGGAACATAGTCGTCGAAAAACTTTAAATTAATGGAAGGGTAGGGGAGGGGCTACGTTTGAATTCATAGCAGCACATTTAGCAACATTAATTTTAATTTCCAAGTGATGAGCCCAGTGCTCAAGGTGGAGAGATATCTCTGAATGATGTGAACCAGTTTTCAAGGCGTTTGTGCTGAGCTAGGATGGCGTATCATCTGCATAAAGTGCAAGAGTGATACTAGGTGATTTTGGTATGTCATTTATGAAATGTTGAACAAAATTGGGCCTAAAAGTGACCCTTGGGGGACGCCACTTAGTATAGGACGGGGTGCCGAAATGAAAGAATTAAACTCGTACAGAAAAAGATCTATTAGTGAGGTACGAGTTAATTATATGAATTAAATGGGCCGAAACATCAAGTCGTATGAGCTTGATAATGATTCCCATATCCAAGTCCTATCAAATGCTTTGGCTATATCAAGAAATAAGCGCCAGTAAGCATATTGTTACGAAACCCTTCGTGAATGAACTCCACTGTCCTCAGCAGCTGGTGCGTAGTGCAGTGTTTGCTCGAAATCCAAATTGTTCATCAATCAAACGTTGTGATTTCGGAGAAATCATTCAGGCGTTTATGTAACACAAATTCGTATATCTTTGATAACGATGATAGGAGGCTCTAGGTCTATAATTTTGAGGATTTGAAAGGCTTTGGCCTGGTTTTGGAATAGGCACAATGAGTGCTTGTTTCCAGCTTTGAGGAAATAGCAATGCTGTATCATAAAATTTATAAGCATTACTAGAAAAATAGATAACTGGTGGGTAAATTTTTAATCATACGATTAGAGATAGAATCCATACCAGGGGCTTTT